TGGCCCCCCTCTCCCCTGGAGCTGCTGCCACTGTCTTCTCCCTCCCCCGCCTCAGTGGGCTGGATGATGGGGGGGCGCTGGCACGTGTCCACCGACACTGGCGGACCTTGCGGGGCTGGCTGGCCCAGAAAAGCGTTCATGCGCTCGAAGTATGGGCAGGCGTCTGGTCCTGCCCCCCTGCCCTCACTGGCCCGGACGTACCCCAGCTGCAGCCCTTTGACATTTGAGCGGACCTGCTCACCATTGCAGCTGGGGTGTCCCTGCTGCGCCAGGTTGTTGGCCATCCGGGTGTAAATGTCAACATTGCGTCGGCGTGAATGCAGGTCATGGAGACCCTCCTCCTCCTGCCAGAGGTCCAGGAGGGTCTCCAGCTCTCTGGGGGTCCAGGATGGGGCCCGGCGTTTGCGGCCTCTGGGGGCCTCCTGAGCTGGGGGTGCAGGTGGCTCACCACCCTGAGCTGCCATGCTGGGTTGCAAGGTGAATGCTGGGCAGCATGGAGGCACGTGGCAGAGCTCAGGCCGCAGGTCTGAGGCACGCTTCTGCCACGTGCACCCAGCTGCCTCTGAGCTCTTTAACAGCTCGGGTTACCAGGAAGTCCAGGGCTCCTACGGGGTCTCGCGGCGTCCAAACTGCTTTTTTCCGTTTCTTCTGCTTTTCCAGAAAAGCTGTCTACACTGGCCCTTTTCCGGAAAAGCTTTTCCGGAAAAAGGACTTTTGCCCGAGCGGAAGCAGCGTAGCTTTTCCGGAAAAGCGGCTGATTTTGTACAGTACAGCGTCGTTGCTTTTCCGGAAATTCAAGCGGCCAGTGTAGACAGCTTGCAGCTTATTCCGGAAAAGCGGCTGATTTTCCGGAATAAGTGGCCCAGTGTAGACACAGCCAAACAGTAAATAAACTGAATGACCCAGTTAGCTCAGCATCAGCTGCGAACCATTGGAGTTGACATAACTTCCAGCACTATGGGGAATAAGCTGCCTGTTCACTATATAGGTTCTTTGTTACCGAAAAGTGACTCTATACGCTCAGAGGCAGCTATTCACTCAGGGCTTATTTCAACATATTACATTAACTTTGGTGAAATAGGCACAAGACCTCCTTCACCGGTCAGTTGAAAGCTCCTGCCTTCAACAGACCCTACCTGACCATCTAGTCCACTATCTAAGGTTGATAGTTCCACAGCTGGGAATATAAAAGCAACAAAACCTATTTAGGATCCATATGCAAATTTGACACAGTCTCCCTGGGCCAGAACAAAGACTTGACCTGGATGACATATTATAAAACCAGCTTTCCTTACATTCAACATCTTATTGACATCAAAAGCGAAGTATGGGACACTTCCAGCCCATTCAATTAGCCTCATTAGCACCGGGACTAAAATTGACAGGTTTTTTCCCCTTACTCTCCTTTCTTATTCTGAGGGTCCCCTGTTTTTTCCTCTCCACTCAAGTTCATCTCATCTGATGAAGTGGGTTTTTTCCCCCATGAAAACTGGTGATACTTTATATATGTTTGTCAGTCTCTAAGCTGCCACAGGACTATTTGTTTTTAAAGTTACAAACTAACACAGCTACTGCTCTGAGATATTTAGGATTGTTTAGTAAACAGCTGTTGAAGTTGCCACTTTTTTCTACCTTGAAGCTTAGCCCCCACATATGTAAGTGAGAGCTACCCGTGCTCTCTAGGAATTTGTATGCCTTCCCCCTCCCCACTTAGTGCCTGAGCACCTCACAATCCTGGATGATACTCACAACATCTCTGCAAAGGCAGGAAGTACTATCCTCAAAGCTCTGCAAATCTGCAGCTATCCACAGATCACACATGCAGACTGTGGATCACACATTTTGAATCAGCGCTTAGTTGTAATTATCCCCATTTTACAGATAAAGGTATGAGGGTGCACAGGGGAGCCAACAGCCCTATTGGGCCCCAGGGCAAAGTGTGGGGAGCAGCTCCATGCTCTCAGAAGGGGTAGGGCCTACCACAAAAGGGGCAGGGCTGGAGCAGCCAGCCCTTAGCACTGTCCGGAGTGAACTGTGCAGCGTTCCGGCAGCAATTTAAAGGCCCTGGGCCTCCAGGGACCTTTTCAATGGCCAAGCCTGGGGCAATTGTCCTTTTTGCCCCCTCCCAGTTGGCAGGCCTAGAGATGCAGGGAACATCAAGCAATTTGGCTAAGTTCACACAGGAAGTCTATGGGTAAGCAAGCAATCTAAATTGTCAGTACAGTGCTCTAATCACTAGATAATCCGGTCCCTCTTCATCAGACTGAAATAAACAATCCTTATAATGGTATCAATGTAGGTGCCTAACTTGAAGCACTAAGGTCTGAAAATGTTGTCCTTAATGTTTAATATGGCCATGGATATTTTCAGCCTTAGATATAAAGACAATTAATTTTCTCTCATTTACAATTATTTGGAAAACACAAAAAAGATTTTTATAAAGTCCAACTGGAACTACGGCTCTTCTTACTGAGGTACCCAAACATCCTACGGACTTAAAATAAAAACAAGGAAATTCTGGATAGAAAAATCCTGTTGCAAGAATAGATTTGACTCCCTCCCATTTACATCTGAATGACTAATTCAGATGTAATCCATAGAAAAGAACTCCTCCATTCTTACACACATACACACTCTCTCTTGCAAGAACTGAACAAGTGTTTTAGGTACTTTTTTTATTAAAGGAAAAGTACAGTAATTGACAGTAAACATTCTTCTCCCCTTCCCAATCCCCCTCCTCCCGAGACATGGTGGTTAAAGATGGTCCAATAAAAGGCACCTACCTTGTCTCTCCAGTATCTGAGAACTGACACTGCTATAACACTTCATTCTTCCATAAGCAAAATGAATACTGTTATAAAATGTAGATCCATTTTTTTTAAAAAACTTGCTCATTATTTTTTCCTGAACCAGTTCCTCTAAGTCAATCATTATGTACCACAGGAAGGAAGTCATTCTACTCCTCTTCATTCACTTGATCAATATCTGGCTGTAATTTGCATTCCCATTTGTTGCAACACTGTATTCTTGCAATTGTCTAGCCTGCAGAAAGGATCGAATTGGAGGAATTTCTGACTTTCTTTTCAAACAAAGTAAAAATGGTTTCTGCCCTGAAGAACTCAAGTTAAATGGCTGTGACAAGTGATAATCGCTAATAAAAATTCCACCACATCATGTAACTCATTAAAGTTTATGCTCCAATATCCTAATAAATGTGTTAGTCTTTCAAGTGCCACTAATTTCCTTCTTGTTTTTACCGTATCTGGAAATATGATGGGACCAATACGCATGGGTCAGGAGGCTGCAAACCTTTCCCAATGGTTCTGCATGCACTGTTTCAACTGGCTCAATTTATTAAAACCCTTCCCCACACATACACTGTTCAAAGAAAGAGCTAAATAGGCTTTATTGGAGGCTTCATATTAAACGCTCACTCAGAACTGAAATCAGTTGTGGCAGGACTGTGTTTCTTCTCTGTCTGCTAAGAGCTAAAAACCACTGGAAGCTGAAATCACTTGAGATGGGGCAATAGTTTTGCCCAGCCTGCAAAGAGATGAAAATTACTGAAGTCAGGTCTACACTGGTGGAGAAAAATCAATGCACAATATGCAACTCCAGCTAAGTGAATTGCATAGATGCAGTCAATATATCTAGCATCAATTCTATGGGGTGGCCCAACAATGGGAGGTAAACAGGATAAACTCTCCTTTCGACTTCCTTTGTTCCTCATAACTACAAGGCATTTCAGGGTCAATGGGGGCATTTTATTTAGAGGGGCCTTACCAGACCTGCTTAATCAAATGCCAGAAGATCAACCTCTGAAGTGTCAGTCTTCCCAGAAGCATAGATGTACCCTAACAGACTGACATGCAGATGTCCCAGCAGAAAGAGGTGGCAGCAGAATGTGATAAGCAGTCAGGTGAGGCGGAAAGGTGCAACAAGTGGCCAGCAGGGCAGTAGCAGACAGGTGTGATAAGCAACCCACAGGGCAGTTGGTGGAGTAGTGTGGCAAGAGCAATCAACAACCAGCAGTGCAGCACCAGAGCAGTACAACAAGCAGCCAGCAGGATGGCTGGCAGAGAGAGGAGCAGCGTAAGTAATTCACCTCTTCGCCCTCCACCCACAGTGGGAGAGGTGAACTCTACAGATGCACGCTGAACTCTGCCTATGCACTGACCAAAGATAGTCACTGTGAGTAGGATGTAGAGAAGGGTCGGGCACATGAAAGGGACTATTTTGGTTGCTGGACTTAAGAACCTGAGTGGGAAAAGGACACTGCCCAGCCTATTTGCAGATAGGGCTTTTACTCCTGGTTTATGTTTATGAACTCTGTTTGCAGTGTTTTCCCCAAATTCATGCCTTGCTACTTCCCTCCTTTTCTACACTCAGGCTCTGTGCTTTCATGTGGGCAAGCATTACCTCTCAGAGATGCCCAAAGGTGGTGTGTGAAGTTACCAGATAACTAGTTTTGTGAGCCAGTTCTGTGTTGTATTCATGGACAGGCACCTGGAGATATCAAACCCAGCCCTGGTTGTTTCTGGCTTCACTTGGCAGAAGGGTAACAGACATGCAGGGATTTAAAGCAAGACCCCGATTTTCCAAGTTAAAAATATGCTTAACTTTGCCTCAGTGGACCAATTCAAAGGAGTAAAGCAGGTTTAGGCACATGCAAGTCTGCAGAATCAGAGTCTAAGTTGGGCCCAGTATCTTCATTTCTAAAGTCACAAGATTCACAAAGTAATTTTTTCACTTGATTTGAATGGTCCCTTTCTAAAATATAAGCTTTACCATAGTATTTTCCAGACACATCCAATAACTTAATGCACTGTCACCAATCATTTAGATTAAGCAAGTTCCTTGGCTCCATGGAAGTTTAACTCCAGCTAGGTCTGCCAAGACATAAAGCTCTTTATTGAGTTCCTCATTTCATTTTAAGTAATTTCCATAGAAACTTGGAAATGTTCCCTAAACCAACAGAGACTTCCTTACTTCCAGCAATTATCTTAAGGTCTGATTTGCATTTTAAATGTCACCTGTATAAATTAAAACTGTTTACTGCTAACACTGTCATTATTCTGATTTGTGGCCATAGCAAGCCAAACCTTGCTTTCATTTAAAAAAAAAAATCCTTTCTGGAAAACATGCCACCTGGAATATAGACAGGGAATGTTTCCTTCAGACCCAGCGCTTGTCTTATGATATTACAGCTTCCCTACAAGAGAATGTGCCACCTTCAATGTTTTCATGTTCATCTTGGCAACAGAACTATTTGAAAACAGTTCTTTGCATATACTTTAAATTGCTATTAACAAAATCGGATACAGATCGTACAACAGAATTGCATTTATTGGAAATGCTTAAAAGGCAATTTAAAATCTTATCAGTGTGTTTCTTTCAAATCATTTACAAATCAATCCACTATCCTTTGCCCATTTTCTGTAGTTTTAAAGTCACATTTTTCTAGTAACATCAAACCAACCAACCTTTCCTGCATTAGGCCAAATTCTGCACTCCATCACATCTATGCTTCACCACCCCCACTCTACAATAATCACTAGTATAATGGAGAGTAAAGTTTGACCATCAGAAGTTAACATTTTTCATGGGTCACATTCCAGTTAATTTTCTAATCTACTGAAATCGAAGTCATCACTTAAAGGAATGAACTTCTCTTTTCTAATGCTGCCCATGAGCATTGTTTTAAAGGCACGTTAAAATAAAAATAAAGTGAGTAAGTGCCCTTGTTGGGTTCTTTATATTGTATGGCAGTGATTCCTTTCCATTTTGGAAATTCAAGTCATGACTACCCAGGAAGACACTCTGGTGTCTGAAGCTAGTGAAATTAGGATGTCACCAGAATCAAGCTGGTCACAAAAATTTAATGAAAAAAGTTTCATTTTTTCCACAGAAGAATTCTGCCATTTTTCAGCCAGCTCTCGTCAGTAGGGAAATCTGAACTAGGACGGAATTCGGCCATATGGGTTAAATAGAGTTGCCAGTGCCCTTATTGCACAAAATGGAACACCCGTATCCTGCCCCAAGGCCCTGGCCTGCCTCTTCTCCAAGGCTCTGCCCCCAATCACCTCATTCCCCTTCTTTTTGTCCCATGCTCTCCCTGATCCTCACGTTCTTGCTCATTTTCACTGGGCTGGGGTGGGGTTTGGGATGCAGGAGGGGAAGGGCATCAACTAGGGAGGTATGGCTGGGGATGAGGGGTTTGTAGTACAGGAAGAGGCTCCAGGCTGGGGTGGGACCAAGGAGTGTGGGAAGGTGTACCAAGCTGAGGTGTGGGGGGGGGGGAGGTGCTCTGGATGGGGAGGGGAGATGAAGGGTGGGGGATACAGAGTGGGGTTTCAGGCTGGGGCAGAGAAGTTTCCAGTCTGAATTGGGGTTCCTAGCTGGGCCAGGGATTTAGGGCACTGGAGAGGGTATGGGATCTGGGAGGGAGTTAGGGTGCAGAAGGGCATATGGGGCAGGGAATATAGCAAGGGAAAGGGTATGGGGGCTGGGATTTAGGCAGCAGTTATCTTAGGGGGGGGATCCTTGGAGGCAGTATCATGTCCCTCGTCTCCTAGGCAGAAGTGCAGCCAGGCACTTCTGTGCATGCCTCTGCCCACAGGTATGACCCTCACAGCTCCCATAGGTGGGGAAGAGCAGGAGAGGACATGGCTGGGGCCCAGGCCAGTCCCAACAGGAGGAAAGAGTAGAGCGAAGAGTGCCACCCAGCATCCAGCCCAGGGTCCCAGCTGAGATTGCTCCTGGTTCCACCCCTGCCCTCAGCTTCGGCCTCTACTGCTCTCCACTGCCTCCCATCCAGGAGCTGCAACTCCAATTCTGGCCTGAGGGGAGAGGCATAGATAAGTGTAAGGGGGAGGCATGAGGTAAATTGTTCAGGGAGCACTGATCTATTTAGAGTCTGGAATAAACAATGTGGAAACAAAGTTCATCTGAGTTCAAGATGTAACAGCTACATCTTTCAATTAAAGGATCAGAAAGAGTTTCCAATATGGATCTCAGAGTCCTCACCAAATCCACTAGCAAAAGGTGTACCAAGCTGAGGTGTAGGGGGAGAGGGTATGGGATTAGCCTTTTTTCGAAAAAACTTCCCCTGCATCCAGACTCAAGCCGCGTTCTTTCGAAATTAATTCGAAAGAACGCGGCTTTTCTTTCGATGGCGGTAAACCTCATTTCACGAGGAAGAACGCCTTCTTTCGAAAGTTCCTCTTTCGAAAGAAGGCGTTCTTCAATGTAAATAGGGCTTCTTCAAAAGAGAGCATCCAGACTCACTGGATGCTTTCTTTCGAAAAAGCAAGCCGCTTTTTCGAAATTTCTCCGTGCAGTCTAGACGCTCTCTTTCGAAAGAGGCTCTTTCGAAAGATGCTTTCGAAAGAGCCTCTTTCGAAAGAAGTCTGCAGTCTAGACATAGCCTAAGAGATGTGATATTTCTAAGGGTTGTCTGCACTTAAAACTCTAGAGCAGCACAACTGAACCGTTACAATTGTGCCACTGCAGCACTTCAATGTAGACCCTACATCATGTCTACAATTTCCAAAGGGGACTGCACCTCTATTCAAATTTGTTTAGGGGTCCACAAACTTTAAAAAGTTGAAAACCACTCCAACAGGACAGGTTCTCCCCTCAGTGTAGGTAATCCAATTTTCCGAGAGGCTAGTTCAATGGAAGAATTCTTCCATCCATCTAGCACTGTCTCCATGGGAACTTGAGTCAACTTAAGTACACCGTTCTTGGGTGTGGATTTTTCACACCACTGAAGTTAAACTGACCTAATTTTCTAATGTAGTCTAGGCCTCAGGTAAAACACACTTGAAAAAGATAACACATATACACACACACACACAAAAACCACCTTGCTCACCCTTTTTTAGATAAAATATGGTTGTGTGTAGAGGCATAAACCAGCTTCTGTAGTTCTCATGAGGTGAACTAACTGGTGCCCTTCAGCCAATTGTTCTGGAAAATGATCGCTCTGAAAGAAAATGTATGAAATGATTAGTTTGCCCAACTTTCAGGCTCAACATAGAGATCAGCTCAGATAAACTCATTTCTTCTCCTTAATAATTAAGGTTTCATATTAATGTAAACATAGGGAGGGTAAGCTCAAAGAAGCAAGGGAATGTGTTTTAATTCCCTGGCATAACCGATTCTTATTTTAAGAATAATTTTTATATTTCTTCTCCCTTTTTAATATTCAGTCTTTATTTCAAAAGTTTAAACAACACCGGGCCTGATTTATGGTTGTCTACATCTTCTATTAATTATTATGATGTCTAATTACTATTACACTATACAGTGTCTGGTGCAATGGGGCTAGAACATGTTGCTGCCCTGAAGAACTTACACTCTGAATAGATTGGTCAGATAAAGAGATGCAGAGAGAGATTAAGTGACATGCCCATGGTCACCCAGCAGGTCAGTGACAGACCTGGGACTTCCAGTGCCCTCCCCCATGCACTAGACCACTTGAGATTTTCATGTGATTTTCCCAAACTCGAGAGCTCTGGACTCATCACATTCACAAATGAAAGCAACAACAATCAATAGGCCTGGTAGCAGCCAATCCCCCATTGACTTCAATGGGAGTATCACATATTAAGGTTTGGACCCAGCCTTGCATCATACAGTTGTGAAATATCACAGATGTGGAGTGCTTCCCTGAGCAATAGCATGGATGACTCATGCCCAGGGTTGTCTGTTATAGCTCAGGTCCCACCAAAACCAGCATGGACAAAACATTTGGAGACCAGGTGTTTGGGCACAGCCACCAAGGTCTGCTTTATTCCAGATGCTTTCTCAGCTTATACTGGGCCCTGGTAAGGAACCCCAGTACAACCTTCCTCTTTAGTTGACCACACTAGCATCGTTTTGTCATTGAATCTCCACGGCAGGAGCAGCAGTTGCCAAGCAGAAGCCCCAGTCAGTTTCCACAGCATATTTGTTCTTGCCAATTGTCCAATCATAGCCAAGAGGCCCAAATTCATTAGGGCTCTCATGAGTCTCTTCCCTCATGCCATACTGCTCAGAAAATCCACAGCCCTTTGTGGAATAAACAAGATCTTCAAGAGAGCCAACATGCATAAGTTACCACGTTAGAATATAGGAGGCACCAGCAAGGTGGAGAGGTTCACGCTGGGTAGATGAGCTCTTACAGGTCATTGCACTGGTAAGTGATTGATTCACATGGTCTGTTTTGCAGAGCGGCACAAGATGCTGTGGAGTGCAGATCCTACTTCCTGCTAGCACTACCAAGGACTATCAGACAAGGGGAAGAGGGAGGCCCTGGCAGAGCACATACCACAATTCTTGAAAGGATGGTGAAAATTGTTACTTCAGTACACACTGAGGAATTCTGAGTCGCTTTGCATTTCTGGAGCTCCCACAGCAGATAAGCCCCTCTAAACCCCTTGTTAAAACAGGCTGAAAAGCCACTGAGTGCACATTTGTCAAGTTGTTAAAACCTTCTGAGGTCCTCCAAAATGAAGGGTACTAATTGAATGTGAGCTGTAATATTAAAGATACATCATGTTCCTCATCCTGCAGTACGTTCCATGCAGGCAGGGCCCTATACCCACATGAAAGCCTGTTGTAAGTTAACAGGGATTCATGCAGGTGCAAGCGCTATCCATGTGGCACCCCAGGAGGAGTGGGGTCAATGGACCAGATCCAGAGGCCAAACAAATCAAAGGATGCATCTGTGCTGATTTAAGTGGGCCTTAGATTGAGCCCAAAATGTGGGTTTTATGCGCTGTAATCACGTCTTTATTTCTATTTTTTGAGACTCTAGATCATAATTATCCATCATGCAACTACTCAATTTTCTTTCACTTCAGAAATTTTTTTAAAAGTGTCTAAGGACAGGAGGCCAGAAAGATATTATTTAAGGTCTGTTTTGAGTCATACCCTAAGAATTTTGTAATATGAAAACACTCAAAGAGGAATATTCCATTCATCAGTACTCTCTAGGTACATTAACATCCTATCAGTAATCTGGAAATGTTGCTTTAGGATTTAGACACTCAAAACTGTCCATCTTGCTGTATCAAATATTACTTAAAGCATTTAATTCAAATTAAATATGGGACAGCGTAATACCGACTGAAGGTCTAGCTCAGATTATAGCTTGCTTGTTTGTTTTTTAAAAACTCACTTGCCCAGCAGTACTAAAACATCTGTGTGTGTTCATTAGAAGAAGTTCTGATGGGGTAGATGAGCAGAGGAAGTTCATTTTCAGCCACAGAGCAATGCTGACTGGGAGGTGAATGCCCCTGTTGACCAGAAAGACCAAGCATTCAAAAATAATTTTCATATCATCAACTAGCACTTTTCATCCATAGAGCTCAACATGCTTGAGTCATAGTGGCAGTTCTTTCAGACTACATTCAGGGCACATCAAGCTTTTCTACACAACCAGGAGGCCAAAATACTTACCTCCTCCCCTCCCCCCAAAAGAGCTGAGATGCTCCTGTAATCGCATGACTTCAAGTTCTAGGGCTTCAAGGAGGGGGAAAAACCCCACACCAAGTATAGTAAGAGTTAGCAAAAGCACATAGCTTGCTGGTTTGAGCATTAGTCTACTAAACCCAGAGTAGTGAGCTCAAGCCTTGAGGAAGCCATTTAGGGAGCTGGGGCAAATCTGTCAGGAATGGTACTTGGTCCTGCTGTGAGGGCAGGGGGCTGGACTCAATAACCTCTCAAGATCTCTTTCAGCTCCATGAGGTGGTATATCAACATATTATATAGTCTCTGATCTATGAGGTCCTGAGCACCATCAGCTCCAGGGGAATGATAAATACTATGGAAATGTCAAGAAGAGAGGACACTAAGATCCCAAACATAACTGCTTGCTGCCAAAAAAATGTTGTGCTTCATTCTTCAGAAACTAACTTTGTGATCAGATGCTTTAGATTTTCCCAAGGTTTTGTTTGTTGACTGCTTCTGAATTATTTTCCCTTAAGGCCTGATCACTGTAGTAGAGTGTTGGACATTATCATGATAGACAGTGCCCCAAAAGCGTACACCATCCTTTACAATGCACACTACAATGGACATAAATAAGAGCCATAGGACACTAGTTCAACCCACAAAACAAAGCAAAAGGGGAATAGAGACCATGAAGAGGAGCACCAGACGCCAAATTCGTCACACTAACTCCAGTGGCATTAGTGGAATTTTACCAGGACTGAATTCGATCCTAAATGGGTTGTACAAAGTAGAGGGAGTATGCATGGATATGTGGATGCTGCTGTAAATATAGGACTTAACAGAAATGCTACTGGAGTCCGTGAGAATTTTCCATTAACTTCAGTGGCCTTTGGACCAGCATCATAGAACAACAGAATGAAAAGTGACAAAACTGTGCATAGAGAATAACTTGCCATTTTTAGGCAAGGAAGCAGAACAAGGAACAAATTACTTAAGAGTCCCACATGTAAGGATTTTATTTTTATTTTAAGCCATTAGAACTGATGTGGGGAAAAGTTAATTATATCTTTGTTTCCTGAGAAACACCTCAGCTCAATTAATTTGATAATGCACTGATGTTCCAGTTAAACTTTAATGATTAGGTCTCTGTTTACACCGTAGCATTATCAAGCTAACTCTGAATTGCAACAGTAGTTAAATGACAAATTGACATTTATATATTGTACACAGTGTGTTTATGAAGCAGAGTGTGAAATTTCCCAACTGATTTACAGTCCTATAGATCTTATCTTTGAGATATCTAATGACAGAGGTGACCTAAGTTAATTGCACTGATCTCTGTCAGAAGTGAAGCTATAACCATGAAAGGGAATGGCATTAACACTGCTTCCAGTGGAGAAGCTATACATTTTGAGCTAAATTCTGTGCTGACCTAGAACCCTGCAATTCCATAATTTTTATGAGTTAAGTAGAAATCCACTGGCCAGTGCTCGGATGGTTGACAGAGGGGAAAAAAAATCTAAAAAGCTGCACTTTCTGGACTATTCTCTGAAGGTCAGGGGCTGAACTAGTGCCCAGAATGATGCTAAAGGGGAGGGGAGTGGGAGTATCATCTTTCAGATTAGACACTGTAATCTTGAACTATCTTCAATCTGTGCAGTACACCATCTCTCTCAATGGGGGCTGAATACAAATTTGATGGCTTAATTTACCAGAGTGAATAAACAACAGAATAATAATACAGTAAAACTCCATTAGTCCGGCATCCAATGCTCCGGGACTCCTGATGGTCCGGCACCATCAGGAACCCGGAAGTGCTGGGGCAGCCGGACAGGCTTCCCCCATTCAGCTGCTGCTGAAATTGACCAGCAGCTGAATCGGGGAAGCCCGGAACAGAGCAGCTGGGGTGCTGCCAGGTTGGTCTGGTAGCGCTGCCCCTCGGGGCTGCGGGACCAACCCGGCAGCACCCCAGCTGCTCTTGGGGACCCCTGGGGCAGCGCAGCTGGAGCGCTGCTGGGTTTGGCCCCCAGCCCCCA